CCCGTTTGTACAGCCCGAATTACCCAATCACGTTAGGCTACGTGGCCCTATCCACATGTAGATTTTGTCTTAATAATATTCATTCTTATCCTTTAGTCTTCCTCATTAGACGGTCTAATCCTGCGACTGACCTCAATTACCTCGAGGTGTAGTACCCACAATGTTGAGCTCTTATGTTCCTCTCATCTTATCCATTATATGGCCAGTTGTACCTTCAGGACGAGGTTCAACCTGAGGGCCCTAGCTTGACCTATCGGTGGTCCTTCGATCAACAACGTCCCTATCGACCTGAGGATTCTTCGACCTGTAATGCCTTCGATTTCTGTTCAACCGACCGGTTCATCTGCTATGGTCATTATGCTTCTCGGGTTAGGTCGAACCTGATGCATTATTCCATATCACATAGATAATTTATAAAAATTGGCATAATTCATCTCTAGCAGTAAAATTTCAGCCTGCGCAATTGCCTAACCTCGCTCTTATGTGGATCCGCCATTTGGTCATACACCAACATTCCACCTTCTATAGTAGATTGAAAATCCTCTCTGTTTCTAAAGATCCCCTAAGTTTTTATATTTGGATTTTCAGTTTTTCTAGGTTAGGGTGAATATGGGGTTCCTTTCTTACAGTATCTTTGTTTTTGTCTCTGTGGGCTATTTCATTGTTTCCATTTCTTTTGAGATTAGGTTTAATTTGGGCCTTTTTGTTATGGGTTCTGCTTGCAGGGTCAATTTATTTCCATGAGCCTACATTCCTAGTGAGATTTTGGTTCTAATCGTGGTAGCCACGAAGCAAGACACCATTGATAAATTGAACAGATTAAAGCTCTGAAAAAAAAAGTATAAATATCAAGGAGAACTAAGGTTGCCATTCCGTCGAAACTGAAATGAGCCAAACAAAATCTCGGTTAACCAAAATTGCAGTTTCACAATTACAAGATCGAAAACAAAAACAAAATTTATGGTTCGGTTCGATTATCTGTTAAGCGCAATAAATAATTAATTTTCTCAATAAATTCTGTGTTTTCACTGAACCAAAAATTTATTTTTTTATCCGAACCAAAATTTGTTATCACCTCGTTTAATCTTCTTAATAAATTTTATATTCTCCTCTAAGGAAGATCTTGGACTGGAACCATGACTTGGACTATAACGAAGCCAATCTTGTGTGCAAATTAAAGCTTGAGCCATTTGAGGGATCATTGAATCTCAAAATTCATCAATCATTGAAGCAATTATTGCTTTTTATATAACTTAAATATACACACCACACACACGCGCGCATGTTTTGTAGATTTAAATTGTGGACAAGAGGTAACCGAGCTACCCGACTCAGGTCGTTCTCAAAGGAAGACGGTTCGGAGCTTCGTTTACTATTTAATTGTCCAAATCATAAAAAGAGAAAATAAATCCTAATCATTCTAATCAATTGGTCCGGAGATGGATTATCACTAAACGAGCAATTGATTACAGGCAATAACAAATCACGAGCAAATAGCGAAACTAGATTATCGGAGTCTCATGCCATCAACACAACGAGAAAAAAATCAACGGCGAAGAGGAATAAACAAGCTATGAGTACTAGGTCATTAATCCTAACCTTCTAACCCTAAGTGATTAAGCTCTCAATAGAGTCCCAACCCTTCTAAATAGGCAAACAATTAATCCTTATAACTACTCAAGCAAGCAATAAAAACAATCAAGTCCCAACTTTCCCTTTATCATCCACAATACTCAAATTTACCTTAATAAGCATTATAAGTAAAAATAAGACAAAAATCAAAATAAAGAGGCTTAAAGATAAGTACCCAATCTTTTATTGCGTAGTAGATGAAAAACGGAGTCAAAAGCTCAAAACTTGAACAAAAAGAAAGTCGCCGGAAAAACTCCCGAAAATTGACATAAGCTCCTTAGTCTAGAGAGAAAACTTAAAACATAATCTAAGTTCCTAAAAAGGAAAAATGTTATAATAAAAGGTGGATGTCCAAAATGCAAAGGAAAAAAACATATATATAGTGTATCTCCAAAAACACACACTAGGTGCACACACATTTAATGATTCTGCAGCTCGCAGGTCTCAAAATATTGTTCGCAGCGAGTTTTGGAATAAGAATCAACTGAATGGTGCATTTCGCAGCTCGCCAAATGAAGTTCGCTGCGAGTGCGCAGGTTGCTTGGTACATTGGTGCGTTCGCGGGGCGCGAAGAGTGGTTCGCAGCGAGTGCTGCTGTTGTGTGGCGCAAGATGTGCGGCTTCGCGGGTCGTCAATACTCGTTCGCAGCGAGTGTGCGCTAGGGTCCTTGGGCGTTTGGCGTAGCGCAAAATTCCTTTCACTGAGAGTGCTCCATCTCGCCCGCACGCCTGGTTCACGGCTCGTCAAGGTCTTATCGCAGCAGAGTGTGGGGATGGGGGGCAATGGAGTTCTAGCAGATGTCGTCTCGCGGGGCGCCAAAACCGTTTCACCGCGAGTGTTGAGGTGCCATGGGAGTTGGCTCGCGGCTCGATTGAGTGGTTAAATGGTTCGGAAATGGCATGAGCGGTACGTCTTCTCGAAATTGCAAATGGGACCTAAACAAAACACCAAAAGAGACGCGAAAATACGACAAAATACAAAAACACCTAGAAAAAGCGAAAACACATAAAATACGATAAAATGGACCGGTTGACCACAAATCAAACCTAAAAACGACTCGACTAACACATAAAATCCAAGAAAATATGCACAAAATCATAACAAATAACTCCCCCACACTTAACTCTTTGCTTGTCCTCAAACAAACAAAATAACAAGTAGTTCGGGAAGAAAAATCGAGAAGTCCAAAGTCAACGAGCATGCGAAATAAAACTCTCATTTTCATCCAGTTATCCCTAAAATCAAAATCCAACAAAATAACAAGTAGTTCGGGAAGAAAAATCGAGAAGTCCAAAGTCAACGAGCATGCGAAATAAAACTCTCATTTTCATCCAGTTATCCCTAAAATCAAAATCCAATCCAAGAACACGGTCCCCACATAATGAATCCATACAAAACAAAAACTCGTCCTGAGTTATTCTACACATGATTATTCTATTCAAGCTCCCTCTTCTACATTCACGTGGAAAAACTATAATGGTCTACTAAACATAAAATGATAAGCACGAGAACAATAAACCTAGTTGAGCTGCTAGAGATCAAAACATGGTTGGAGCAGGGAGTCTCGCTTGGGTGGAAGATGGTAGTGTTATACCTTGAAGACAAGATGCTTGCTAAAAATCATAATAATTGTGTCTTGTTTGACTTGTTTGTTTTTGTGGTGGCTGAGGCATTTTTATTTTGTTCTTGTTCGTTGTTGTAGTTGATTTGTTAGACCGAAGTGGTCGCTTAAAGAAACTCTTGTTGAGTTTTCCCCCGTTTGTGTCCCTTTCGGGTCTTGGCTAGTTGGGGATAGTTTGTAATCCTTTTGAGACAAACAAAAAGTACCAAAAGTGGCAAACATTCCAAAGTTGAGGTACCAAAAAATGATTAAGTGAAAAGTTGGGGTTGTAAATTGATACGCTGTTAGTTTGGGCATGAAAAGTGAATTCTTCACTTAAAGAATCTATATATATAATTGCTGGCATGTTAGCATTTAATAAAACCTATTTAATAAAACCTCTAAAATTTTTCCTCCATTTTATAAAATTTATCATTAGTATTTTTTAATTTTCACATTAATACATCTTAATAAGTGTAATCATGTATGTTTCTATTATATTATATAATAGGTATTGTTAATACTAACTAATAATAATTCACAACAAATATAAACTACATAATTATAAACAATTGTTTCAAGTTATGTATTTTAACATCAATATTATCTTTTTCTTTTGTATCTCATAAAAAAATTTATGTAAAAACAGTTAGTAAATTGTTTTAATAGCATAGTTAAACAACTTTATAATCTTATAAACAATTGTTTTTAATAATAATAATAGTAATAATAATAGTAATAATAATAATAATAATAATAATAATAATAATAATAATAATAATAATATATAATTGCTAGCTTAGCATTTAATTTTATCTATTTAATAAAACCTCTAATTTTTTTTCTCTATTTTCAGTTACAAAATTTATCATTAATATTTTTTTACTTCTCACATTAGCACATCCTATTAAATGTAATCTTGTATTTTTCTATTATATTATATAATAAATATTGCTAATACCAATTAATAATAATTCACAATAAATATAAATTACATAATTATAACCAATTGTTTCAATTTATTTATATTAATATCAATATTATATTTTTCTCTTTTTGACTATCTCCTCAATCTAATCAATCTAAGGTTGGGATGAAAATCCGGGAGATCCTGGGAAATCAAAATTTTGATTTCTGATCGGCTAGATCATTAAAAGAAATGGTTTCATTGATAACACGCCTGCTTCCACCATATCGTGCAATGAATATAAAACGAAGAATTTATTCGATTTTTAATTATTAAAAACAAACACAATTTAAATATTCGTTACAATTTAATTGGTAAACAATTGAAAAATTCATCTCATAAAAAAATTTCTTTAAAAACAATTAGTAAATTGTTTTAATCGTATAGTCAAACAACTTTAGAAACTTATAAACAATTTTTTAATAATAATAATAATCATCAAATTGTTATTATTTAATGATAATAAACAATTGTTCATAATAGTAAAATCGTTAATTTATTTTTTCTAATAATCAAATTTTTGAAAATGTAATATGTTCGTTATCTAGAATTGTAATATTAAATTCTCAAATATTACTTACGAATTATTTATGTACATCTGTGTATGTGATATATCGACAAATCGATCCATTTACATGGTTGCCCCTCTAAGCCTTTCGAATTCTCTTTCGGCCCCAAACTTAGGGTTTTTTCTGCCTCCTCTCCCTATTCGTCCATCTCTGCTTCCAGAAATCTCTGCCGAGCAATCTAGGGTTCTCAATTAGTTGCAGAGATTTCAATATCCTGTGAAAAGGTAGAAACATGACGACCGTTGTCCCCACATCCGAGGAAGATCCCGCTCTCTCAGTCGTCCGCTTCACCGCTGAGTTGTCGTGGGCCGATGCCGGTCCTGAGGTAATACTTCAATATTCGCATGTTTAATGGCTTCTGAAAGAATACAGTGATCTATTGAGAAGTTTTTGATAAGACACTGCTTATTGTATTTCACTTTGGGATAGTCGAGTCAAAATATCAGTCTCCAAAGTGTATGGATGGCTAATGCTGTTGTATGGATCTTTTGTACCCATTATGCGTGTTTTGGTACTGATAGGTCGCAGAGGGACAGGTTAATAGTTTGTGCGTTGAGGCACAAGAATGTATGATACAAAACAGGTGGTTGGATTTGGCTTCCTTGATGCTTACTTCTGCTGATTTAATTTTTTCTAAAGCCTCTGAGAAAGGTGAGAGTTTCTTCTCTTTCAATTTTGTGGTAATTAATTTATGCCCCTTTTGCATGAGTTCAGAGTTGTAAATTGTGTCTCCAGTTGTATTGAAGCCCATTGAAACATTTGGGGAACTTCATGGCATTCGATACCTAAGTTCTGTTTCATACTTTTTTCTTTTATATATTTTTCTCTTTTTGAGTTACCGAGTATTACAATTAACTGTTGTAAGCAGGATTTGTTTTCATCTCTGCTTCATTCATGCCAATTATCTCTTGAGTGTGTCTGCCATTCATATTTATTTTGGTGGGTAGTAGGTGATTCTTTTTCAAATTTGTTGTTTTTTGGTTTTGTAATTGGTCTTCTGTTTCTTCATGTTTTACGTCAGATCTTGAATGTGTTTACACTGTGATCTGCAACCTTGTTAAGAAGCCTGAGAGTCTCGATCAAGTGCATGAGATGGCAGTGCTTATAGCCTCAAAGGTTACCCAACAGCCTAATGACAAACCTGCACTGCGCTTAAAGATGTAAAACACCTATACATTTGGGCTTTTGAATCTTTGATGCTACTTGAGTTTATATTACCTGTCTAACATTTGTTTCTTTTTCTATCTAGCTTGTTTAACCTCTACAACCTATTGGACAACCCATACAGCCAGTTTTTCGTTTATATGAAGGCCCTCAACTTGGCAATTAGTGGAAAGGTCACTGAGCATGTCTTACCATCGTTTAAAAAGATTGAAAACTTTTTGAAGGAGTGGAATCTTGGAGTTAAGGATAGGAGGGATCTCTTCCTTGCTGTTTCAAATATATTGAAGGATAGCAAGGGGTAAGAACTATGCAAGAATTTTTTCTTTTCCTGTACTTTTGTGTATACAAATTTACAGATAGAATTTTGTAGCATGTGTGTTGAGTGTTGACATGAGTGATAGAAAACTAACTTTGTGAGTTACAATTCCTTTTTATCTTGCTGTTTCAGCTCTGCAAAAGACTCCTTTGATTTTCTTGTCAAGTATCTTGAGACTTTTTCGGGTGATGATGTGTTGGCTGTGGATGAAGCTAAGGAAGAAGCTGTCCGAGCTGTTATTGAATTTGTGAAGGCACCTGACGTGTTTCAGGTAATACTGCAACTTGTTTTTAGTTGCATTTATGTGTACATATGTTGTAGCTACATTTTCAAAAGCGACTCATTTTCAATTTGAAACTCGAGAAGGTCATAATCAAGAGATTCTTCATTTTCAATTTGTAGCAGGGTGACTTACTAGATATGCCTGCTGTAGCACAATTGGAGAAAGATGCAAAATATGCTCCGATATATCAACTTTTGAAAATCTTCCTTACTCAGAGGCTGGAAGCCTATTTGGATTTTTATCCATCAAATTCTAGCATATTGGGCAGCTATGGTAGGCTTGATTTTTGTCTTGCTCCTCAACTATTGATTTGAGCTGCCTGCAGCCATTATTGTAAATGATCCTTTTTTGTTTCTTTTGTCCTCATGGGACAATGCAGGTCTTGTGCATGAAGATTTGGTTTCTAAAATGAAATTGATATCCCTGGTGGACCTTGGAAAAAATGAATCTGGTCAAATTTCTTACTCCTTAATTAAGGAAACTCTCCAGGTATTTTATTTACTTGCTAACTTCAGTGTTTCAGCTTTACGTAGTGATTAGTCTCAAATCATTTGGGTTTTCCTAGATTGAAGATGATGAAGTAGAGCCATGGATCATCAAGGCAATATCGGCTAAGTTAATAGACTGCAGAATTGATCAAATCAACCATGTGGTGATTGTGAGGTATGGCATAGTATCTCTGATATCTAGTTCGAATAATGTAGTGAATCACTTTCTATTGAAGTACACTTTTTTGTGCAGCCGCTGCACAGAGCGTGTTTTTGGGCTTCATGAATGGCAATTCCTTCGATCAAAGCTTGCCACGTGGAGGGTATTTAATCTGCAACCATATATTTAATATATTGTTATACATGTAAACAAATTAGCATTGTTGTTTAATGTCCCTGCACAAAGACTCATGGGATGGAACAGTAGGGTATAATTAGGTTTTCAACTCGTTGTAGGGGTAAGTGAAAAAGATAATTTTGAGGTTTAGAGCCACCTCTGCTATCCTTTAAAACTGCTAATGCGCTCTTGCTATTTGTTTCTTTTTGATAGAGGCTTTACTTGTTGAGGTGTAGTTGTAATTCTGAAAGATGATTTGGTATTGTTGTAATTAGGTCCATTTTCAACTGTATTTATTGGAACTATGTGATTATTACAAACTTGTAGTTGTTGCTTCTAGAGTGGTTACCTTTGTATTCCAGTTTCCTTGTTATTGTTTTTAAAGAAGTGCCCAACTACAATCTTGAATTCTTGCAGGGAAACATTGCAAATGTAATTAGTACCATTCAAGCGAACAAGATTACTGAGGACAGCACCCAAGCAGTGCAGGGGTTGACCATACGTTGAGGCTACTCTTGGTTGTGACCATTTTCAGTTTAACCTTGCCAGCACCCGCAAGTTGGAATTTTACTGCTACCTTCAGGTTCTAGCAATTAGTGAAATCTGTGAGACAAAGTTGCTTGTGTTCAGAGTTAGATTGCAATTGTTGATTTTGTCGGCCAAACCCGAACATAATTTTCTGGCCAGATTTTGTTTCCTGAGCACCATGAGCAGTTTTGACCTTTCTTTTTCGTTGCTTGAATGTATTATGTACTTTAAGATAAGAAATCTTGGTTTGCATTTAATTTCCATTTTTCACATGAAAATGGAGTTGGACTTGTCGAGCTGTGGTTATGGTGCTCCTGGGGGAGTGATAATATCGCTTGCTATCAATTTAGAATTTGATAATAAGATTTGAACTAAATTCAACAACTCCTCTAAGGTGGACGGATCAATTTTAGATTACTTGAAGACTACACAATTTGGTGGCATTTGTTCCTTGCAAAACTTTATTGTTTATGTTGAAGAATGGATTTTGCTGCATGTTTCAATCTAGCTGTAGTTTGTTTACAAATACAAAAACTGTATGCTTTTTTGTTAAAGCGTAGTATGTGTTAAATTATAATAGAACCTAGTAACCTCATTTTTATAGGGAGAATGAGGTTATCCTCTTGCCCAAGCAACCTCATTACTAGGCAAGAGTTCCTATTATATCTTGTTTCCTAGCATGACACATCTCTATGATCTTTAACTCTTTAGCGAGATATATTTACCATCATTACTAAGATTTATGTTTCCTTACTCTATACGGCTCTTAGGTCTTTAGGTCTTCATAGCGACCTTGACAGTCACATGCCCTTACCAGCTCAGACACGACCATCTGGTCGTAATGACCCCTCATCCATCCGAGCTCCATGAGAAGCTTGGCTCCTCACTCCTCTATTCATGTCGACTCGTACCCAGGGCCGGCCCTGAGCATTACTAGGCCCTGGGCCAAACATAAAAATAATGCCTCAATTTTTTTTATAAAAAAATATATATGTTATCAACCACCAATAATTTTTTTGAAAATTGATAGAATTTATATAATTTTTAATAAAAAAATACAATTGATTAAAGCTAACAAAAAAATAAAAAAATCTAATATTAAACTTATTACACCTACAAAAAATAATGTCTTTGAATGAAGCTTGGAAGAGATAATATCACAAGGGGTTTCAAACAAAAAATACTGTTTTGAAAAGAACTGTAGACAAAAAAAAAAACCACTGTGGTTAAAAAAAAAAATAGTAGTTATATTACTTTAAAAGGCTTATCCGTTAATTTTCAATTGCAAAAGCACCAATTATATGTTCATAATTAAGATTTTTTGTAATATTCTTTTTGATGAGTAACCCTTAAAGTTTTTAAAAGAAAATAACACTTTTTGCTAATAATTGAACCAAATACTTAAAATAATAAAAATATTAAATTGGTTTGTTTGCATTTGAATATTGAGAAATATGAAAGTTGAAGTGAGGAACACTTTCAACAGATTTTTTGAATGATACTTTTCTAGTTGCATTAAAATGGTGGGCCTTTTTCTACTTTTTATTTATTTAGTTATTTACAATATTTGGTGATAGATTGATAGAGGAGAGTTGTTCGGGAATCGTGCTGCAACAGTTTGGAACCGTGCCATCAAATTAATATAAATTATTAAGATTTTAAAGAGTTTATGTGTTGGGCCTTCTTTAGTATCTATATATACACTATGTGGGTTGCATTGCTTGGTGCCCCTTTTCTTATTGGGCCCTGGGCCAGGGCCGGCCCTGCTCGTACCCTAAGGTAGTACACCAACCTCACTGACGAGGTCAGGACTGATATCGAGCTAAGGCTTTCCTGAATCGCTCACATCCAAGCTAACCACCAAGACCGGTTCACCGAGCTACCATGGGTGCTATATCACTCCCAATCGAGCTCAGAAATAGGCCAACACTGACGTACTCGCGATAACAAAGTGATCAGCGCAGGTGCCAGCAACCCCATGGACGAAGTTGAGGGTTGTGGGAGCGGGGAGGCAAGGATATTTACATATTTGGTTTCCTCATTTTCAACTGAGAGAAAATTTGAAGGCTGATTACCATCACAATTTATATAAGTTATTCACTTGTTTTTAATGTTCATATGTTTTGTATTATTTTTTAAAAATATGTGAATATGAACAAATTTATGGTATATTGCATTTATAAATAAAATTAATAAAACAAAATATGTCATAAAATCAAAATCAGTAGGCCGGGATGTTAAATAATTATATATTTTTAAATATAAAAATATATGTTTTCATTCACAAGTTTTTTTGTTTCCCCTCCAAACAATAAATATTATTACAGCTCGAAATGTTACAACGTTCGGTAATCAACGGACTACAAACGTCCAAATGGACTAAAATGGGGAAGAGCCCGCATATCTCCCCTACTACAGCCACCATGACCCAAACTTACCCAAAAACATTAAAAAAAAAAAACATAAACAACAACAACAAAACACACCAAACAAACTACTGGATCCCCTTAAAACAACAAGCAGAAAACATCGAACAAACATCAAAGATATCCTCCATTACCGCCTGCAGTTGTGTGTCCAAGGCACCTTTTTCAGTCAAGATCTTAGCTAAGCCTTTGGTCTGTGTAAATAGCTCCACTACTTGGCACTCCTCCTCAGCTCTATGTAGAAACTATTCTCAAATAGCCACCAATTCTTCCACAGTCACCTTCTGTTCTTCCCCATCAGACCACATCCACCTTGAGATCAAACCAACATCCTTGAGGCCACCATTCGCAGCTCCTCATCAATAGAAATAACATCAATAGCACTAGGTTCATGGGTATGTACCCCTACTCCTTGTGTTATTACTCTCTCTGGTCCCTCTGCAATGCCACCTCCTTGACTCTGATCCTCCTTAATATCTGCACTCGACCTCTCAATTCCACGGATTCTCCTCTGGCCCGTTTCACTAGCTGTACTTCTGTTTTTCCTTGCCTTCAAATATTCAACTGTTTCTTGTTTTTCACAACTACCACAACAAATATTTAGATAGTGATATTTTGTACTTGTTGTGTTCAGTGTGCTTCAATGTACAAAGTTCACTCCACCAATCTTTGAACTCTACCACCTCTCTATCAATTTTTTTGCCATTGTAGCCCAGCTATTTTCCACACCTTGTGAGCTCTAATGCACTTGAATAGTATATGCTCCAGATCTTCCTGTTGTTCCCACACCAACTGCACTATTCACTCCCTTTTGAATCAACCACAACTTCGAACCAATCCAATTATGCCAACATCTCCATATAAAATTTTTCACCTTCTGTTTAATTGACAACTTCCGAGTAGTGTTCCACATTTTTTGCAGTCCCATATTTCCTCCACTAGACTCAATTCATCCATTAGCTTCTGATATGCTCCTCTGCCTGTAAAAACTCTTTTTTTATCTGGATGCCAAACCAATTTATCTTTCATACCCCTCTGACTAATATGAATTTTCATTATTTGCTCTGCATCAGTTTGCTGAAAAGTTTGCACAATGAATTCTTTGTTCCACTGCTTCCCACTTGCTAACATCAAGTCAGAAACTTTTGTTAACCATCTCTTATCATCCTCACAAAAACAGATAGGTTTAAACTGAGGTGTAGTTGGGATCTAGGGAGAATCCAAGATATTAATAGATGATCCATTCTCTACCTGATATCTCATCCCTAGTTTTAACGACTTCCTAGCTTCTAACCAATACTTCCACATCCAGGAATCACTATTCTTTGTTTTTTCACCTCCATAATATTCTGGTTATGAAATACCTCCCCATCACAAGTTTGCTCATCAAGAGGTTTGGTTTAATTAAAACTCTCCATAATTGTTTAAGGATCAAAGCCTCATTAAAATCAGAAAACTGCCTAAACCCCAAACCCCCCTCACACTTAGGCTTAGCAAGTTTCTCCCAATTATCCCAGTGAATACTATTTCTACCCTCCCTATTGTTGCCCCACCAGAACTTTGCTATAACTTTACAGATATCTTCACTCACAACAACAGAGAGTCTAAATATAGACATGACATAAATAGGAAGGGCATTCAACACTGTTTTAATCAAAATTTCCCTCCCTGCCTCACTCAAGAATCTATTTTTCCAGCTAGTCACCTTGGCTATCACACACTCTTTAACAAAAGCAAACACCTCTCTCTTATTTTTCCCAATACCTAAGGGTAACCCAAGATATTTGGATTTTCTAGCCACATTAATCCCATGAAAGATGTTGCAGATATGCCCTCTTACAGCCTCAGAGGTATTGGCAGAAAAAAAGATGTTAAATTTATGAAGATTTACTGTCTGACTATAAGCCTTGCAATAAAAATTGATCATATTCAATAACACAGAAGCATTGATAGTATCAGCTTTGCACAGAACCAAGGGTTCGTCAGCAAAAAATAATGAAAAATCATAGGAGAAGACTTGCTAATTCTGATCCCTTGCAAGTGTTGGGATTTGATAGCTTGATTAATACAATTATATAATGCTTCTGTTATGATAATGAAGATATAAGCAGACAGAGGGTCCCCTTGTCTCAGACCTCTAGTAGGCATCACATGACTATGAGTTTGTCTCATACACAAGTTATATACTTCAAAAATAATATAAATAAAAATATTTTTTTTTTTGGTGGTACCCAAATATACCACATTTTTTTCTTTTGGTACTTGAAGGTTTCAACTTAATAGTAATGCTCCCCTACCCATGGTGGGCACGTGTTAATATTCTCACCGCTTATGTGGCATGCACACATTGGTGATGTTTTTTTCGAATATATTAACATCATCAATGTGTGCATGTCACATAAGCGGTGGGCATATTAACATATGTCCACCGTGGGTAGGGGAGCATTATACTTCAACTTAATCAGGTAACAAAGGGCGTAACTGAAAGTGGATTAGTTTGGTTTTGATTTATTGGGTAAAGTGAGTTAATTTTGAATAAATTTGAGTGAGTGG